CTGAAGGAGAGAGAAGCTGTTGGAAGTACAACAGCAACACACTGTGGCCATGACAACACACAACACACCGATTCCCACTATGCAGAAGAAAGTACGTATCAGTTTGCACACAGGATATAATTTCATTTGATTTAACGTTATCTTAATAGCGCCAAATCACAACAAATATCATCTTTAGGCACTTGAGGCCTGTCCAAGAATAAAGGCCAACTCAAGCCAATTAGCCCCTAAGAAAACCTCTTCTGAACAAGTGGTTCAGAAGGGGTTGTCTTGGGTTGAAAGTGGTTCTCAGGCCCAAAGATGACCATTTGGAACCAGAAGAAAATGTACATATTCCGATTATAGAAAAGTTGGAAGAACTTAAACCTGCAGTTTATATGCAGTTAGAGAAAGCTTTTCTGTCCTAACAGAGAAACGTTCAACCATCTGCACTTTTCAGAAGCAATCCAAAGAGTTAGTCGTGCAGAATATTGAATAAATAGTTATTTTACATGAGCTGGGATTAAATAAAACAATTAAGGCAAAGGCAAATTTATTTATGTAGCACAATTCAGATACAAGATCATTTAAATTGTTTTGCATAAAAGATTAAAGAATAGAATTGTGAAGGTTTAAAAGCATAAATTAAGTATAAACAAAGTAAAACAAAAAAGGGAAAAGCAAAGAGTGCAGAGAAAATCCCTTCAGCTGTCATTTCACAGATAAACAGAACCGTTTCCAGCCGGGATTTAAACTTTCAGAGTTAATTCCTGTCTCACCTCTTCAGGAAGACTGATCCAGATTTTAGGATCAGAAAACTGAACATCAGCCTTTCCTTTTTTGGTTCTGACTGGACACCAGCAGGAGACCAGAACCTGAGGTTCTCAGAGGTTCTCCCTAACATAACGGACTTTAGACCATGGAGAGACTTGAACACATCAGAGCTGTTCAGAGTCTGTTCTCTGAGCTACAGGAAGCCAGAGCAGAGCCCTGAGAACTGGACTGATGTGGTGCTATTTCCTGGTTCTGGTCATAACTCTAGCAGAAACATTCTGGATGTTCTGCAGCTGGATCACAGCTGGTTTAGAGCCCTAATTCATCGAGAAATGACAAATAGCACGCAAAGCCCCTCAGGGACCAGCTATTAAATCTTCCATCATTCAAGTCAGAAATATAGGTGGAGTTTCCATATTCTAATCATTCCTCTCAAGTAGTTAAATAGACAGTCCAGTAGGGGATCTTCTGAAATCCCCAGTTTACTCTGGAGTTTACCACCAGCCAGGAGAGCCGTGATGGGAATAGCCTTCACAGTGGTACCCTCTATGGCCTCCAGCCTGAAGTAAAGGATGTTGAACATATACAGACTAGGGAGCGTAAAAGCCCTGGAGGCCTTGTTTTATCTTGACCCCAGCTCTTTCCCTTGCCACATATGTAGAAATTAATTTGTCCCATTCTTGAAATTCTTTGGGAGGCATTGAAAACAATAAAGCGTGCATGGGAGAATGTTCATTCTGACTGACTCAAGTTCAATAAGGTTATCATATTCCATCTATGGACAGCTAATTTTGTGTGAGATCAATGTCTTATAATTAACACTTTTGTTTTATTTATATTGATTTCATGTCCGTAGTATTGACCATATTCTTCCAACACAACCATCAATTTTGTGAGTTTTTGAGCAGTTTGAGTTCAAGCTATTAGATCATCTGTGAACAGGACCAGTTTCTGCTCTCCATTTAAAGTTATTACTTCCTTTGTGTTGGGCCTCTGTCGTGTCCACTGGCTTAAAGGTCTAAAAAAGAAGGAGGAGAGGAGCATTGAAGCACACTTTCATTGTTCTTCTATGTAAATAGAATGAGTTTGTCAAGTCCCCATATTTAAATTTGGGCCATTGGTTTATCATGTATCTCTGCCAGTATGTTAATAAAAAGATTGTGAAGTTATATTTTTTTATTTGCTTTTCCAAATCAAACACCTTTCTGCATATAAACTATTATCTACTTTTCGTGTTTTTATCTCTTTCTTGTCTAATGAAACCTGTTTGATCATTGTTTATCAAATCCATTGGCATGAACTGTAGTCTCTTTGATAATATAGAAATAAAGAATTTGTGGTCACTAACAGGTCTGTAAGTTTCACTCGAGGGTGAAAGTATCTGCTCCTGGGAATTTATTTGCCCCATTTATTCTCCTGATGCCTTCTCATATTTCTCCATTATATTGTTATCTTGTTATTTACCTACTCAATCTGAAACCCAGGGTAGGTGTATCAAGTCCAAAAAGTTTTTGATTTGTCATTTATTGCTTGAAATTGAAAGTATAGAGGCTCATAATATTTTTGGAAACCCTGTTTAATTCCTTCAGAACTTGTTTCTAACTGTTTTGTTGAGGGATTTAATCATTTGTGAATGTATCTGTCTGCTCATTGTTTTCCTAATTAGTATGATTAGAGCCCTAATGATTTCCCACCTGTCTCATAGTACTGCTGCTTAGTCAAATTAGTCAAAAGTCTTTTTTGGTTTTGTTTTTTATTAGTTTCTTTTTCTTAGCACTGGTACCTCACAGGGAACTGGGATCTTTCTGTGAGGAGTTTGCATGCTCTCCCTGTGTGACTTCTGTCCAGGAACTCTGGAAAAAAAACATGCACGTTAGGTCAATGAGACACTCTAAATTGCCCTTAGCAGTGAATGAGAGTGTGTGTGGTTGTGTGTCTCTGTGTGTCCCTCTGATAGACTGGCGACCTGTCCAGGGAGGACCCGCCTCTCGCCCTTTGCCAACTGGGAAAGTCTCCAGCCCCCCAACAACCACGTTGGGAATAAGTGGTATAGAACATGAATGAATGGATGGAAAATGGATGGATGGGTTTCTTTTTTCAAAGTTATTTAATGTTCAGTTCACTAATTCTGTCCACAATGAATAACAGAACAGCATATGGAATAGAGGAAAACAAAGGATTGCATTTAAGTTCTTTTTAATAAATTGCCATGTGATGTGTATTTTACCAGGATAATTGAAATGATCAGTAAAGCACTCGGCATGGTATATCATTAATTATTAATTAGTGTTTTGAAGGCTAAAATATGTCTCACTATCAAACAAAAATTAAACATAAAAAACAACACATGCAATCAACACCAAGAAGACAGAACTATTATTTGAATTGTTCTCCATGTGTAACAGCTCCATAATGATGCCAAAAGGTTGTAGAACATTTTCTTAACCCACAAAAGGCTGCATGAGTAAAAATGGTCCATCAGGTCTGACTTTGTCAAAAGATATTTTACCAGAGAGAGTAAACAAAAAGGCAACTTTCTCTTTACCACCGGTCCCAAACCATATGTCATTGGAGGTAGTCCTAGAAAACTGCCACGTCAAACTATTTTAATCACCTTTGAAATGAGCGATTAAAACAATTATTTCAGAGGAGAGGGATGGTTCCTGCTATTAACAACCCTCTGCTCAATATCACAACAAATTACTTCATGCTCATTAGTATGAGTTGTGCATGCCTAGTGGTTTGGAAAGCCTCCACTGGGAACTTGCTATATTACTCCTTTTGTGTGTAGTGTATAATTAGCATTCATCAAGTGTTGTGTTTACAAAGCATACCCCTCACAAATGAATTTCTGATGTTACATAAGTGTAAGTCTGATCAGGAATGGTCTCACAAGCCCCAATGTTAAAGTTTAGACATACTGCTCCTAAACTAATATAACAATAAGTTACAGTAATTGCAATGTCAAAGGGTTCAAATCTCTAGACTAGGATTTCCTGCACACACAGAATTACAACAAATATTTTGTAAAATGTAAATTAATCCTTTTTCATTTTATTTCTTTAAGACTTGTATTGCTGTATAGAATGGCGTAAGATGGCATTGAGATCATTCTTAAACTTGATTCTAACAATGATGAAAGATAGTCTCATTTCACGCCTTACATCTGCAAGTCATATTGATAAAACCCATTAGTAAGAACTCCCATAAAACACATAAAATGAGGCTGAGCATCACAGGCGTCAGGCCGACCACTTCATAAAGGATGGGTTTCTGTTCTGAGAAGAGGCTGGGTCTCTTTTCCATCCTAAGCATACACCTAAAAGCCTTTAGAAACATTGCTCTATGCTGGCTGTGAAGCCTGATTTGACTTTTCTAACAACTCTGACTTTTTATTTTTAATAAACAATGCAATTTTTAAATTTTATGTAAAATTGTAATATTGTTTTTTTTTATCCACATTTCAATATCTTTAGTCTTCCTTTTGGCTTCGGGGGACATAGTTGCAATGTGCACACACTTCCTGAGGGAGCTGCTATGTTCCAGCGGAAAATAACAGTCCCACTAAGCCAGCTAGACGAGTTTCGGAAAAGTTATGTTTGGCTGTGCAGTGGATAGGGTGACGCGTTTCATTAAAATGGACTTTAATCCTCGATTTTTCACACATGAGTAGTTGCAAATATCCTCATGTCCGAACATCCAGCAGTCCTGATACATCAACGACGAATGGTAGGAATGTTTTAGCTAATAAGTCCCGGTACTTAGCCTAGCAACAAGGCCTAGCAGCTAGCGCTAGTTAGCTAGCCTGAACTGTAGGCCTTAAAATAATAAGCCAACGTTTACGTTTGGCTGCAGTGTGGTAAATGTGAGACTTTCTGGCATTGAACGCTTTGTATGTATTAGGTACATTTTGAGCTCTTGGGTTATTAAGTTGCAGGTCTTTTTTGAAGGCAGCCACAGTTAGCTTCCGTGGCTAGCCAGTTGGTTTACTGCATTATTAAAGCTGACAGAATGTCAACGTTACGCCGTTTGGGCACATTTGACAGAATTATAAGCAATAATTGAGCTTGTTTGTTTTGGTGGTTAACAATAAGCCCTGTGACTCGCATGCTTATATAGTTGTCCATGGTCATATGTCTTAAAAGTATTCTGTGACGTTCTTGTGCTGAGTTTTCCCATAATTAAGCTTTCACACTAACATATTTGTCATGTTTTTCCAGTAATTCACTAGCTTTTTTAAGCTAGTAATGTCTCTAACTTTGCCAACCAACGATATGCTGGAAACGCCACCTGGATATCCATTTGAAGAAATCAATTATGAAGACATTGAAGTTGAAGAGGTTGGTTTTAGTTTGTTTCTGTTTGTAATTCTTCCATTTAATAATGGTTGTGTTTAACATAAGCTTAGCAATTAGAAGTAACTTGGTTGTGAACTGTTTCCAGGTGGTGGGAAGAGGAGCGTTTGGGGTTGTCTGCAAAGCCAAATGGAAAGGAAACGATGTTGCTATCAAGACCATTGAGAGTGAATCGGAGAGGAAAGCCTTTATTGTTGAGGTGCTGACACCTTTCCTCATTTTCACCTCACGGCTGTCCCAGTGGTCATTTGAAACATTAAGCAGCTAATGCAACGGATGTGTGACCTAACTGTATACAGGCCTGCTTGGATGTAGTTGTGTTAAAGAGCTGAATGTATGTGTGTAAAACTATGTGCCCTATTCACTGTTTGTGTCCAGCTCCGGCAGCTTTCACGCGTGAACCACCACAATATTGTAAAGTTGTATGGTGCGTGCAAAAATCCAGTAAGTTAACTGAAGTCTTACTGTCTCTTATGCAGCCATTGGAATCTGGGTCTGTCTGATATAAGAACTTTTATGGATGTCTTTTCCAATCAGGTCTGCCTTGTGATGGAATATGCTGAAGGTGGATCTTTGTACAATGGTGAGTTGAGATAAAAGTGGTCATCACTTCATATAATAAACAGCCCGCATGTCCTCCACTTTTCCGGCTGTGAAACAAGCCCAGCTGTCACCAGATGTAAGAAGCAGCCCTTTTGTGTTGACACTGCATGATAAGCCATGTTTCTGATTCATGTATAAACCATGCGTAGTGTGATAACTGGTGTAAGCTTGTTGGCCTGCCTTAAATATCCAAAAGGGGCAGGTAAATAACAATAAGCTACATGTAATATCGCTTACTGTTTAAGCAAAGTAAGCTTGATAAAACTTATTCCAATTTCTGGAGATATAAAACTCAAATCTTGATTTCTTATAAAAACACACACACATGTAACTGGTAGCACTCAAAAGCTTGGACACTTTTCCATATATTTTAGATGAGTGCTTACCTTAATTGGTTAGAATGATATCATGCAATGATTGAGTTGCATTGATTTTTATTTTGATTTGCTTAAATTGGACTCATGGAGCTGACATTAGTTGTGATGTGGTGCTACGTTGATAAACCTTGTTTATCTAATAAAATAGTTTCCAACAAACCAAAAATAACCTTCTCCTGTCGAGTTATGTACACATTGGGATTTATTTCTAAAATTAAGATTGAAGCAGTCAAAAGCGAGCAGAACTGTGTTGTCCAGCCTTGCTTAAAAAAAATATTAAAACCGTGTCCAAACTTATGAGCAGCAGTGTTTGTGTGTGCATTTCCTTTGCTGTGGGGGATCCTATTGATAGTTTTGGCTTTTGGACCTTGTTGTAGCAGTATTTCTTTGATTTCATCAAATACATTGTTTAAGATATGAAATTCTTGAAAATATGTTTTCTAAAAAATCAAATTGTGCACAAAAACAATTGTTTTTGAGAACAGAGGACTCCCAGCTCTGAAATAATCAATGTATAGACTGGTTTTTACTGTGTAGACTCCGGTACTGTTTCCCTCACACACCAGTGGGGAATTTCTTTGCTTAAAACATCCCAAAAACCTGATGCTTCTATGCTTCACAGTTCAAAACCTCTTATTCAAGCTTAGTTATTTTCTCTGGGTTTTTTTTTTTTATGTCTGATGGTTCTATTCTGAATCTTGTATCCAAAACATGTTTTCACAGCTTTTCTGTGATGAGGTAAAACCACTGTGTCAGTAAGATAGGGAGCGATGGGACAGGCCTGTAGCTCCTGGATGACTGCAGTGCCTAATAGGGATGGGACGGTTTCTAAACCCGTCTGAACCGTTGGGTTCTGTCTGGGTTGGGTTGGCGTGTGTTGGTTGGGTTCCTGCTGCTCCTTTTCTCAGAGGGAAGCGTTTACACTCCAGAGCAGAAGGGGGCGCTACTGCGCCCAAAGCCAACCACCAGTAGGAAACCAGAAGAAGAAGAAGCAGCGTAGCCCATAAAAATCAGACCAGCAGCAGTTTCTAGGTCTGCTGTATGGACCAGTTTGCATTTAGAGGGAAGCACATGTTGGAATTAGCTCTGTTTCCTCTCTGGCAGAATCTCACCTAATTTAACCTCAGACTGTCAAAACGTATCAAATGTCAGACTACTTTTTTCTTTCAGTTTTAACCTGACTATACAAAACATAATAGATTTTCCTAACAATCAACACATACCGAACCGAACCCAAAACCGTGACCACGAAACCGTGAATCGAACCGAACCGTGGGTTTTGTGAACCGTCCCACCCCTAGTGCCTAACCTCTGCTGGGTTGTTCTGGAGTCCCGTTGTCTGTAGTGGTGGTGTTTGTGACTGTGTTCTCTTGTCCACAGTGCTGCATGGTGCTGAACCCCTCCCTTATTACACTGCTTCCCATGCCATGAGCTGGTGTTTACAGTGTGCCCAAGGAGTGTCCTATCTCCATGGCATGAAACCAAAGGCTCTCATTCACAGGGACCTCAAGCCACCCAAGTATGCATCTTCTCCTCACCTCACATCTTGTCTCCTGTTTCACTTCCACCAAACTCCTTTAAATTTGATCAGGTGTAATAATGCACTCATTGTTATGTTGTTTGTATTTAACAAAACAGAAGCACAGATTCAAGATCTGGATGAAAATCTTTTTATCTCCTGTGTTCACAAGTCGTTTCTGTCCAGTACTGGTTTGCCCTTCCATGATATGGTCCAGCTCTTCGGGGCTTTTGGACGCTTTATTTTCCCTGACCGAACCCCTCACTATGGGCAGGTTCCGCTGTTAATCACATGAAGCTGCAGAAACACAGTGGAGTCACACAACTTCACTCCGAGTGTGTGTTCATTACATTATGGTGATATAGCAGATGCTTTTATCCAAAGTGACTTGAAAAGTATAGAGTAGATCTTTCACTAATTCAATTTACAGCAGCTTTTACTGCAGCGGGTTTAAATGTCTGTAGGGAGAGATAACGACCTCAGAGCTCAAGTCCAGCCACAAAAATCGATCTGATCTTTAGTTTAAGTTGATATACACACTCTGGTATTCATTAGTCATGACCACAGCACACACACTTATCTCTCGTTTATGTTGTAAATTGTGTTCCAGACTTTCAAAAGACTTCACAGAGTGAGGAACTGTGTCAGTGTATGTCTTGTGGAGATTTCTTTACTTTTTCTCTTTGAGAGCAAGCAGTGCTGTGCAGTGTTTCCAAGTCAGCATTTCGGATTGGGTTGGTTGTATCATGCCAGCATGACTTACATGATACAATGGAAAATCCTGAGAAGAAAAACTGTAATGCCTTAAAAAAGCATGTTGAGTTATCCAAGTGTTTGATGTCACATGGATTTGAACTTCAGTCTTAAGTTCACAGGGCCAATGCCATTCTGCTCTCCAAGTCCAGTGACGTATGCTTTACTTTTAGAATCCTAACAAACATGGAAATGTAATGACATCATGAAACTTGAAAGAGAAAAGGCAGGAACATGCGTATACAGTCGAAGCCTGCGATCGTTCTGTGTGTCAGACAAAGGAATGGATGTGCCACTGAGCTGCTGTAGCTGTATGTAGTAGTTGTGCTAAAATGTGTATTCAAAACTGGTTCTGACCCTAGTATTAGCTGCATAATCCTCAATATTACACCTAGGCTGCAGTAATTTAGTCAATTATACGCTATCACTTAATGAACCATGTTTTTTGCTGGGGTACTGGTGGTAGAGATGTGTTTGAATATCTTTAATTCTAGTTTCCTCTGATACTTTGAGATTAATGAATGATCTATTACTAGCCAATTTCCATTTGACTCTCTGAATGTCATTAGCTTTTCCTTATATTTAGTGATGTGTTACTTATTGTTAGATCAGTTCAAAAACACTCTTACAACATCATATGAACTCCATAAAGTTGGGCATGGACGTTACATTGAATATTAAGGTTCTTTTGACACTGGTAATTGAAGGCGGCCTCTGCCGGACACATTTGTCAATTCTTTCTCAAAATAAGTCAAATTCTCTTTAGCTCATTGCAGGTTGAACACTTAAACAGTGTGTTAATCACGCCTTACTCAAAGACAGTGATAAAGACAGGATTTCTGGCTCACTCTGTGTCACTGCAGCTTCACATCCTGGTACTAAAATAGGCTGCTTACTCTGCCCATATCAAAGCTTTCTGAGGTGGAAAGCAAAGACAGGAGGGACAGGAGTAGTCTCGAGAGTAATCCCACTGTCCAATGGGAAAACGGCGTCTAGGCTCATGTGTCTGTATGAGTTATGTTCATGAGTGATTGTAGCATATCTGATCGGAAAATATGTGACAAGTTATGAGTTCTTTATGAGCTTTTAATGGTAACTAATGTTTGGATTTTAAAGGATCAGTCGATTTTGTTCAGAAATTATTGTAGCACACTGCATTAGAACAGCAACGGTGTCAAATGCAGATTTAGAGTACTCTGCCTTTGGTAAAGGAAATATTGCACTTAATGGATAAAAATAATAACAATTGAGTCTGAGATAAGAGAGAGCTTTTTCCTTTACCCTATCAGTAATCTTACACCGGGTTAGTTGAAAAGGTTGGAAATGATTTTCTAATAAGGAGTTTATGCATAGGGACAATTATTGAACTAAACAATTATTTCAATGTTTTATTATGTAATCATTACATAACATAGGTGTCATTGCTTTGCTCTAAAAGCTCTGATGGTTTTATTTGCACCAAAAAAACCTAGCATGTTTTCTTCTTGTTACCTGCGTCTGAACCTAGTGTTGCATTCTTGCACAAAGGGGCGGCAGGCCAAATACCGTATTTAAAAACAGACTTCTCAGTCATAATAAAGTAAAGAAGGATGTGGGTAAACTGAGTTTGTCATCCGCTCTTTTTCTCCAGATGGGTTTACATTCATTTTTAGCGATTTCAGAAACTGTATTTCAACTGTTATCATATGTTCTGTTTATTGCATAAATGAATCCTTTTAAATTTCATAAGTGAAAGAAAATGACACAGCTGATTGTCAGTTAGAGCTAGATGAGATTGGCCTACTACAGACACAGCTCGGATTTGACAGTGTGCATATGTTAGCACAGCCTGAAGCTCATCTCAGCCACTCTGAATCATTTTGAAATGTTTGTGTTGCTTGTTTGTGCTGAGTTTCAGTTTTGCTTTGTTTCAGTCTTCTTCTGGTGGCGGGCGGCACCGTGCTTAAGATATGTGACTTTGGAACAGCATGTGACATTCAAACTCACATGACCAACAACAAGGGAAGCGCAGCATGGATGGCTCCAGAGGTATTTGAAGGTAAGCGTCAGTTGCATTTCGGCTGCTAGAAAAGCTTGGCATTGCCCCCATCTTAGTGGGTTTGTAACTATTTGTTTCATGCTTTAGTTGCTGATGTTCGTGTCTGTAGGCTTGTTGTACTCTTACCAGCATCGTTGCATTGTCACTTTTCACATTAATTGCATCTGCTTCCAGCATGGACACATTAATCCTCGATCCATCATCAGTTTCTGTGCTCCTGCACTTTATTGATGGTAGTCGCAGAAGCATGGCAAGAAGATGAATGGTTTGATGCCACTGCTTTTATTTCCCCAGGGAGACTACACTGTAGACTTTGTGTTCCCATTCAGCCAGGAACCTAATGTATTGTTAAATGATGAGACAAGTTCCTGGCGAAGGGGTCAGGAGGAAAGATGAATTAGCGTCTAGTCATTATCTTGTTTTGGAGGCAAGTTACAAGATTCCAGTGCAATTAAACAACTTACTCCTGCCCTCTCCATGAACTTTTTACAACTAATTTGCGTCATTGTGAAAAGCTATTAGAACACCTCAGTGTAGCATATTTAAAATAAGTTTGAGGGCTTTAATTATGCAATAACAGGCCTGCTAAATAAGCAACACGGGGGCTGTTTTGTTTTTTTCATATTTTCATCCTATTCCCATCTGAAAAGATTAGATCAAACGGCTTTGTTTTCAGAGGCACATCTCGAATGTGCCATAAGAGAATTTTATTTATCCGTCAGTCAGCAGTGTCAGTCTGAGCTGTGTTTTCTGCTTGAAAGGGACCTCAGGGTTTTGGTTGGTTTCTATGTATTTGCAGGCAGCAATTACAGCGAGAAGTGTGATGTTTTCAGCTGGGGGATCATTCTGTGGGAAGTGATCACTCGCAGGAAGCCCTTTGATGAGATTGGAGGACCAGCATTTCGCATTATGTGGGCAGTTCACAATGGTGAGTCCGATTGCGTTTGAGTGTGTCCAGGCTAAGGCCACGTCCAGCTGTCAGACACTGTCCTAAGATACAACAGAGCACCCAACAGAGATGCTGAAGGGTGCAATAATTCCCACATCAAAGGTGGAGGGAGGTTTACAGAATTAGCCTTTGGGAAAATGTGGCTGTTTCCCACCAGCGAACCTGCCCTCCTTAGCCACTCCTGTCTGAAGCCAGCAGGAGGCATGTTTATTCTTCATTTCATGTGTCAAACTTTCTGACTCTTTGGAAGTATTTCATCTCTTTTTTTTTTATTCAGGCACAAGACCTCCATTAATCAAGAACTTGCCCAAACCCATCGAGAGCCTGATGACGCGGTGCTGGTCTAAAGATCCCTCTCAGCGGCCCTCCATGGAGGAAATAGTGAAGATCATGATTCACCTAATGAAGGTAAGCTGTCAATTTGCTCTGTGTTGTAGTTTGTAATCGGCAGAGGGAGATGGGCACTTTTGACCTGGCTAAATAATGGAAACCATATTTTTCTGTCCAGTGTTCCTCAGCCTGTAACATCAGATTACAGGATTCTCGTATATTTATGCTTTGTGAATACTTGTTTTCCTGCTTTCTATGGGCGCTTCTTCCCCTCTTACAGGCACACATAACCTCATTTCACATACACAGTGGAGTCATCAAACATTTTTTGCTATTCTGGAGCTGGGACGTGATAATAAAAAATGACTCCAGGCCCCATAGCAAAGTGAGCTATTTAGTCAGTCCTTTAACTTCTTTTTTTCAGTACTTCCCAGGATCTGATGAACCTCTTCAATATCCATACCAGTATTCAGATGAGGGACAGAGCAACTCTGCAACCAGTACAGGTACAGTGCACACAAAGTACAGCAACTGCATGAATAAGTTCTGAGATGTAATTAAACCAGTTAGTTCCTTTACAGCTCCCTGTCTTGTTTTCTTTTAACAGTAAAACCGAAGCAGAGAATGTTTTCACTGGACACTGTAGTAGCACCTCTCTATTTAACTGTGTCAAATGTTAAAACACACTCACCGTGGAGCTTGTGTGAAGCCAGCCTAACTGTGCCTCTACATCCAGACATTTCCTCATTTTGCACCTTCTGTGGGACTTTACCTGAAAGCTAGTCATTATTATATTCAGTAAATATTTGAGAATTGTGAAGTGGCAAGAGACAACAACTTTATTCAAACAGGCCATTGCAAAGTGAGAACACTTAACGTGGAGAAGTACAGAGATGCCTCGGTTAACCTCTATAAAAGAGAATAAAGGGCTGTGGAAAATGTCCTCTTTTCACTGACCTCAGGGTGCAGTGCACTTGTGAGATGAGTTTAGAAAATGCTGGTTCACACTGTGCTTCCACCAGAGGAGGAGGGGCGAATTTTTGCACCATGTTGTCACGGCTCACTTCCACAGTAGTTAAAAGGTGTCTGATGTGCTCAGAAGAAAACTGAGTATTTCTGGGGCACAATAGAGCTGAGGTGAGCAGTAGATGCAGCCATACACATGCACAGCGTGTCCATTTTGAGGACAGTTAGACTGAATAAAGCTGGTGAAACAGAGTAGGAAAAAAACATGTCCGACTTTACCTGAAGGACAGGTCATGTACACTCCAGCAGATTGGGATTTGTAAAGAAAGATGGTGACATTTCAGTCCTTTTGGATAGTGTCACTAAAAAGCAAACATGAACTGAAAAACAAAAACAAATGAAAGGAAATATAGAATAAAAAGAGGCATGTGTAAAGGTGTTAAACTGACATTAATGTCACGGTTCTGATTTACAATCAAATTTCTAAGCAGCAATTGCTGTTTGTGTTGGATACAAACCAAAATGAAACAGTGCCATACAGAGCACTAAAGTTTCTAGTTCAGCTGTGCACACCTTTCACCAGGTATAGGAATCTATAGCTTCCATGTCATCAGATTGACAGGCTGCATAAAGCAGGTGAGATAATCAGCATTCTCATATTCTTTTCACTAAAGCTGTATTTTAAACTAAAATATGTATTTTTGCAAATAGAAAAAAGTAGAATAAACTCAGCTGAGTGTTTTAATACAGACACTCAAACAGAAGCAATTTGCAGATTCACGTTTGAGTCCTGTAAGAACGACTCCGCCAATGCTTTTCTGGAACATTTTCAAATGGAAACCTGGTTAGAATATGTTGTGAAGTATCTATTGCCAGCAGTGGCTGCCTCTCGGCTTTTTCCATCAGGGGTCACAATAGCCAGTCAGTCTGGAGTCGCAAAAAAAGTTTTGGCAGGCATTTTTATTAGGGATGCTCTTGACAGAATCTTGACACAATCCTGCCATTTAGCCGGTATGAAGCCTGGGATAAAACCCCCGACCTACCCATTTGCAGTCCGTCACTCTTAGCCCAGAGTAGTCAGCCCCTCATCTATCGCCATAAGTAGTAATAATTTCCCTCTGGGATTATTAGTGTATTTCTGATTATGATTGTGATTCTGAAGTAGCTTTTTGTATTTGAAGTGACAAATAATCAGCATATTAAACAGATTAACTAGAAGGAACCTCGTGACTCAAACTCTGAAAGCACAAGCCCTAAACTTTCTCCTGCTTTATATCAATGTTTTATCTGTTCAATCCTCTGGTACCTTACCCTGAGTCCAACCCAAACAATACATTGACACAATGTCACCAGAGAGCGTTTGAGTGGGCACTTATCTTCTGACAGCCTGCTGTGGGGGTCCAGATGAGGAGAAATCATATCACTGGTTCCTCAGGCTCTCAACATTGTTTCTATTACTAGATGGGAGTGAAACCCTAAGTTTGATACTGACTGTAACTGCAACAGGACGGGCTAAAGACTGGATTATTATTTCAGAGCCATTTAGCCGTAACGTACAACACTTCCAGCACAGTCCTACCCGCCAGTGAATCAGGGCTGGAGACTCTGTCATCTGGCCGTATTTCTAAAAAGATCTAAATGTTTTCAAGCATTTTAAACTCAACATTTCTGATTTCTGATCATTGTGCAGGAGATAGAGTCTGAAAATCCAAAGTATTCACCACAAACAATGAAAGCTGTCAAACCTTTCTGTCATGTGTCCTGGGAAACTGCAGGTTCCTATGTGGACTATACTGGCACCAGCACAAGCACCAGAAGTGATGCGAACATGGAGCACAGTGATTCTCAGGGGAGCAATGACACCATCAAGATCACACCTCAGTTTGCACCTCATTTGAAGCCAAAGGTATGGCCAGCAACACACTGTTATAGTGCTGTAGTGTGCAGCCTATCATTCTCTGTCATTGTACAGGAATGAATCTGGTCATAGCATAAATCAGAGATAGAATAAGTTAAATCTGACTATATAATAATAGCTATTAAGCTTCATTTTTTACCATGCGTGTCACACACATGTGGTTGAGGGATAACACAGTTTTCATTAAATCAGTTCCCTTAATGTCTAAAAATGTGCAGCAATTAGGGGTTTTAATGTTGTTGTATGTTTATGATTTTGATGTTGAGTGGTATAACTTTCATTATAGCCGTTAAGAACTTGTATGATTAAAAGTGGCTTTTTCTTAACAGGGAGACCCGTTAAGGACTCTGCCTTTGTCCAGAGGGGGAAGTGTGGAGAGCCTGCGAACCCAGTGTTTGCCATCCTCTGACAGCAAAAGAATGAGTGCTGACTTGTCAGAGTTAGAGCCCAAAATGTCATTTGCACCTGCAGGTAATACCAGGCACCACACATCTCAGAAACCCACATAAAAACAGGATGTGATGTTTGACCTTACTTAAGAAAAGTTCATCAGAAAAAGCACTCACCATTATTGGAATCAGATCTTTTTTAAGACCCAAATGGCTTCACTACTGGAAACCAAAGAGGTTCTGTGAGTTTGTCACATGTAGTAAAGGACGATCCAACATGGAGGGCAGTCTAAACTGGCCAGCAATCTTTTCCTTTTTCTCAGAAGCGCAGACAGAAAGCAGCTCTGGGATTGTCAGTCCGAATTAACGGCAGGAGCATCTCACATACATTTTCATCTAGATTTGAGGCTTTGTCCGGTTTCATTTAGTTTATTTTCTGCCTTCGATATTGCCTTAACAAAGAGCTTCTTTAATTCCCCTCAAATTGCAACGTTGAACTTCCTCTTTTCCAAAGGGAATTGGAGAAGAGCGCTGGTGGGGTCTGTTCTATGAAATGTAGTAGAGTGCTGCTGTATGGTTCCACTGCTCCAGGACGGGACAGGATGCATGCATGCTTGCATTGCACGCATGCTGTATGCTCTGCATGTCTGTGACCATATTTGTAGTCCTGCTGTGGCCTCAAAGTCTGTCTTAGTCTGCATGCTTGTTGTGTATGCCGCTGTATGTGTGTATGTGTGTTTTTGCAGCACGCCCCCAGTATAAGCGAGGCCACCGTAAAACTGCATCATTCGGAACCATTCTGGATGTTCCCAAGATCGTCGTAACAGGTATCAGTGGACCACTGGGATTCCTGGTGTTCAGTTGGAGCTGGTTGGAAGCCCCTGGGTTGCTGTCATCTGATGTGCTGTTCTGCTGTGTGTCACTCCATATGATGAACCCTAACCCAATGCTTTTTGTGCCACGCAGACAAGCTGGTTAGAGCTGTGTCGTGCAAATGAACATGAACGCTGCCATTTCTCTCATTTAATCCTGAGCAAAACCTCATGGAAAACTGTTGTGTGGGCGGGCAAAGTTTTTCTTCCACCAATTGAATGTATTTTGTACACCACTAAATGCAAAAAAGAAAAAGACACAAAAGTAAAACAAAATACTGTTCCTTAGTCCAGCTGCAGGTTCCCATACATTTGCTAACTTATTAAGCTGGATACAGGTGTACACACTTGTACGCATGTCCACGTCCCAACCTTTGGAGATGTTCACCAAGTTTAACATTTTCATGGAACAGTAAATGTCTCAAGTTCTTGTGTTTGCTCTGTGGATGAAAGATGAGTTCACAAGATGGGTAAATAATTCCATCCTGTCTTTATTTTAAACTGAGCATCACAAACTTTTGGGAGGTGGGGTTGTACATGTTTGTTTAAATTCTGATGTATGTTAGCTTTGTGTATTGGACTCATCATGGAGTAACGCACATTAGAGTTTCCTTGTGTCTCCTTTTTTATTCTTCTTAATGTTAGTATTTTAGTCAGCAGGAACAGAACATGAGTTAATATGTGATCTTTCTCATCTGTTAGCACAGTTTAGACCTAGTCTCTAGTGTCTGCTTTAAGCTTCTGGCTTTTGAGACTGACTTTCTCCTCTCGTAAAGAGAAAAAGCTGAAAATAACTCTCTAACAGGAGATAAGGAACACAGATGAGATAACTTGATAACTCATGGCTCTGTTTTCTGTTACCTCCTTGGCTTGGCTGCAGCTGTTCACAGGTAACTGAGTAAATCAGCTCACCAGATTTTTGCATTTAAGCTTGTCCTTGGCTTTCATGCATAGAGGACTTTGAGAAAGCATGGCTATTTTTTCCCTCTCTTGCTCTCTTTTCTTCTATTAACTTTGAAAAGTCATTTTGATTAATTTCCCTCACATTGGGGGGTCAGCTATTCTTACAAGCAGAGCTACAGATGAGAGGAACGGGGACAGCTTTGGATGTCAGAAAAGGTTTCTATTTTGGGGCATTATGAGACACACTGAATCTGTCAGTTTATTCAGTGTCACGATCAAAGTATATGTTACTGGAGTCAAGGGCACTGATCATTGCATAGCTATGGGGTTTACAGTGGATAGCATATGTATTTTCAGGTTTGGTGAAAGGATTAATGGATTCTGAAGAGATAGTAGATAAGATATAACTTTGTCATTCCACATGCACAGGTTCAGATCAATAAAAAGCAGTTTACCATCTAACCTGAAGTGCAAAGAGCTGTAAGTGCATGCAGCATAAACAGTGTGGTATATAAGAGGTAGAGTTTTTTTTTACAGCATATAGACAGGATTTACAGATAAAAGCCTAAGCACAGATGTGACCATACATACAGTGAGCAAAATATACAAAGATGGACTGAGGAGCTAAGGATACATTATCTAGTAGATTTTGTTGTTAAATACAAGTAAAAAATACACAGGGAACACAGGATAATTTACAATATAGCAAAAAGAGGGACGATAAATTAGGTGATTGAAATCCAGTAGAAGTCATGGTTAAACCTTGTACAAATGATAAGAGGTAGCACTGCCAAATGGATACATAGTACTGTGAAACAGCTTGTTTGAAGCGTGCGTGTGCAGAAGTCCAGTGTTGCAGTGGATATGGTTTCTGGTCAGTGAGGGAATTGGGGGTTGAAGGTTGAGGCTGAATTGTTGGGTAGGGGCGGTTCAGTAGGGTCACAATTCTGTGGACAGGACTTTTCCTCAGCCTGCTGATGCTTGGCTTGGGCTTTCCCTCCTGCCCTCAGGCAGACGCCTGTGTGCTGGGAAGGAGGAATCCTTCAGGACAGCGTTTTCTCTGGAGGTCTTTAACGGCAGGGAGTGGAGTTCTCTTGATGCACTGAGCAGTCCTTTTTGCTCCCATAGCCTACTCTGACACTGCTGGGTAGACTGCTCTGCATCACACATTGCTAGACTCCACCTAGATGGCTGCAAACAGATGGTTCTTTCGTGTCCTCAGGAGGAGAAGGTAGATTATCGGTGTTGAATGTCCAGGTTAGCATCCTGCTAGCGGTAGTCCATAACCACCTCTTGCTCTAAATTTCAAATATTGTTTGACGTCTCTTAACTTCCCTCATATCTACAGAATGTACTAATTGAAAACACACTATGCCACATAGTGGAGAATAAGTCTTCTGCTGGCATTCCTCTGCGGAAGAGTCATAAATTCTACATGATGACTGAGTCGTACTGGAATTCTGAGGTTACCAAAAACTGAAGATTCAAATGAAACTCCGTGTGGTGCTGCTCAACTTCAGCTGAAGCTGAACATCTTCAGACACACAGCCTGTCTTTCAGTTGTCTGCTTTCCAGAGGTCACCCCCCCTATGCTTTTTTGCTTTATCTTGCATAGCAGTGTAGGCTGACTAGTATTAAAAATCCCAGAAGGAAGAACACAATCCTTTATCCAAACCGGTGTGTTCACAGAATCAAGGAGATGTTGGTATTTTAGCTCAGAGCCCAGGACAACAAGGTTGCTTACTGAATGTCCACTCTGCTTGTTATTGTGTAGCAGGTCTGTGACACTAGCGAGGAGCTAGAAGATATTTTAATGTAATAAAGGATAGGATGTTTGCAGATCTGGAACCCTCACTTGACAAACTAGGAACTTCCAACAGCACATTGTGACAAACCCCTCATAGCTCCTCTAGTCCCAGATTGATGCTGCACAGTGGGTGTGGTGAAAGCGAGGGACATCATAGTCTACCTTTCCTTCTGCCCAGAGGAGTTTCTATTACATTT